TCTGAGTCCCTCCTGGAAGACCGAACGTCTTAACATATCTCTGAGAGAGAGCCCAAACACCCTGAGGTGGAAAGTGAAAAAATACCAGAATGACCAAATGTGGTCAGTCACAACCCAGAACTCCTGACCACTGATGAAGGTACGAACGCTTCGCCTTTTGACTCAACTCTCTCCAATAGGACAGATCAGTTTTTACTCTCTACTTTCTATAAATTTGCCTGTAGTTATTGATTAAATTATGATTAGATTTGTACTTAATACCAGTTTATGTACGTGTTGTGTTGCTGGACCGTTTTATTTTCCTTTCATATAATCAATCAATTGACTTGTTGATTTTGACCCGATGAAACTATTTAAATCAATTGTGACGTGAAAAGCAACTGATGTTGTGTATAACGTGATTTTTTTTTTTTATTAACACAACAAAAGGTTATTACTTCCAGTTTCTATGGCCGTATATCTAACTTATCTTTGTCCGCTTGAGTTGGAGATGGATAGGTTGTGTGTTTTAGCAGATAGTACCTGCTGCTTTAGAAAGACAGGTGGCAGGTCTGGAAACATGTGTGGCACAACAAGGTACTGACTGAGATATACAAAGATGCTAAAGAACACAATAGTTGTGTTCAATCATCCAGACTGCTGTAAAGTCAAACCTTAGTGGAAAGTATGTTCGGTAGATTCAGAGAAGTTATTACTGCCTCTGGCTGATCTCTGCTGTGCCGAGCCTCATGTTATCTTACTATAGGTGAAGAGGTTAGACGGCGAACATCTGCCCTTCATATTCTGCATTCACGTAACCTCCTTTCTTTTTTTTTTTCCTCCACTGGAGGTTCTTGGTTGGAATTTTCTGTCAACATTTAATTAAGATGTTTTTCTAAGCCTTGGAAAAACATTGTACCACTCCCTGTTAAAATGATTTCCTTCTGTGGTTGTCAGCTCTGTCACTCCGAACCTGATGGATACCACCACAGGCGCTTGTAATGGACAATCAGACCTTTCACGCTCGGTGAACTTTGATGTTAGTGTTACAAGCTTAACGCCAAGGCGGGCCAGGATT